GTATCTCATAGTTTTAGATGATGTGTGGGATATTGAGGCATGGAATGCATTGAAAATATCTTTCCCAGATTATGCCAATGGAAGCAGAATTATATTAACGAGTCGGCATCATGGAATTACCGGTAAACCTCACCATCTTCGGCCACTTGATGAAGAAGAAAGCTGGGAGTTACTAAAGAAGAAGCTGTCAATTACCATAGAAGGTGGCTATCCTGTAGAAGTAAGTGTTCTTGGAAGGCAAATAGCAAAAAACTGTAATGGACTGCCTCTATCAATCGTCATCATATCTGGAATTCTCGGGACTCTAGATCAAGGTCGTTGGGGAGAGGTAGCAGAAAGGCTAGACTCAAACAGCAAGATTGGTGCCACAGAACAATGCAAGAGTATATTAGAGCTGAGTTACATACATCTACCTGACCATTTGAAGCCATGCCTTCTTTACTTCAGTGCATTTAGAGAAGACCAAGAAATTTCTGTAAAGAAGTTGACTTGGCTGTGGATCGCTGAAGGATTTCTGCAAAAGAAGGAATCAGAGAGCCTTGAAAAATTAGCAGAAGGCTATTTAATAGATCTAATTAACAGAAGCTTAGTTATGGAGGGGCAAAAAAGATCCATTGGCGGGGTCAAGACATGCCACATTCATGATTTGTTGCATGTCTTTTGTTTGGGAAAAGCTAAAGATAAAAAATTTCTACATTTGATACAAGGATGTGACGGATTTCTTAATTTTGATGAACCACACTACCTATATCGGTTATCCATTCACTCTCAGCCAAAGCATTTTGCGAAGTCAAAGATATTTTGTCCCCATGTACGCTCTCTATTACATTCTTGTCGTGGTATTGGGAGCCGTGGAGTATCATACAACTTATCCTTTGTTTGTCACCTGAAACTTCTTCAAGTGTTGGATTTGGAACAAATTAATCTTGGTTTTACTTTCCTATGTGAATTAGGGTTGCTCATTCAGTTGAGGTACTTGGCTGTTTCGGGTTGGATCAAATACATCCCACCCTCGCTGGAAAACCTCTCGAATTTGGAAGCGTTTTGTGTGACAACATATTATCCTGATTTTGTTCTTTCATCGTTGGAAGATATTTTTTGGAAATTGCAGAAATTGAGGCGTCTACAAGTACGTGGTGCTTTGATTGACATTAGGTTGGCAAAGGAAAATCCTGAAAGCTCCTGTATGTTATACAATTTACACACGTTTTCCACTCCAAAGCTTTATCTTGGGCAAAGCATGGAAAAGATGATGATGAAGTTTCCAAAAATGCGCAGACTGAAATGCTGTCTGCTACAGTCAGAGCAATCTTCTAGTGAGGGTACAAGGATCGTGGCAATGGACTCTCTGAGTCAGTTAGAATCACTAAAGCTGCTACTGGGTAAAGTTACTGCAAATTGTATTGAATTTCATCTCCCCTTGAATCTGAAAAAGTTGACACTGGAGGACTTCTCATGGAGTATAATTTGCACAATCAGAAAGCTACCCAATCTTGAGGCTCTCAAATTAATCCGGCAAGCAGATGGGGAAGAGGAATGGGACATGGGAGACATTGAATACATGGAAGAAGAGGAAATCTTCCCTAAACTCAAGTTCTTGAAATTGGAATCCTTGACGATGGTCAGGTGGATGGGCACAGGAGTGCATTTTCCCAGTCTTGAGAGATTAATTTTGGAGGGTTGCGCGGAATTGGAAGAGCTCCCTTCTTGTTTACAGGATACTTTTACTCTTCAATTGATTGAGGTGCATATGTGTCTATACTCTGCTGGAGATGTAGTTCGGGGCATTAAGAAACAACAGATGGATTATGGAAACATGGATCTGAAAATCCTTATCTCGGAAGAAGTTGACGAGTCTTGTTCATGGTCAGATGGAGATTCAGACGGATGGTTACCAGAAGAAATTGAGGAGTCTTCTTCATCGTCGGAAATTCACACAGATGGTCAGGCTAACGATCATCTGCCATAAGCGTTGTTATCTTCTGTATGGTTCTGTTTACATTGATGTCATATTTGTCATAAGCGTTGTTATCTATGTATGGTTCTGTTTACATTGATGTCATATTTGTCATTGTAACGCATAAATGTTCTCACGCATCTGTGGAACTTATATGATGGAATATAAACTTACCTTAGTCAAATGTGTGTTGGGTCAAAATGGGAATTTTTTTTTTTTGTTAATTTGTATCATCCCATCCATCTCCACACCCTTCTCACCTTCCACTGCCCAAGCCAAGAATTTGAACTTTGAACCTGAGAGAGAAGGGAGAACTCTAAGAGTGTTAAACTTTTCTCTGGTCACTGTTCTGCAAATTAGCTGCTGGGTGATGATGTGTTTCGAGGGTGTGCCAGGAAAGGTTGTCGAAAGTGGGAGGAAAATTTGACAGATTGTGTCACCTAAGCTAGTAATCTGATCAGGATTGTCTCAGTTCAGAACTGTCCTCTGATTTATGGAACTCTCATCATTACGGCAAAACTGCCTTTTCGAGTTTCTTCGGGGGTGATCACCTTTTATGTACTTCTCAGAGTTTTCTTCTAGGGGATTACCAACATAAGTGCTTTTTGGAGTTTCAGTATTCTTGATTCGGGTATTAAAGACTATCTTTCTTTTGCATCTAAGCAATATCTAGCCACGAATATCTTGTTTTTTTTCCCCTTATTTACAAACCATTTGTACGAAGCCTGGATATTGGGCAAAAGAAAAGGTACTTCTTGCCAGATGACAACTCATATTTTCAGGTTGAGATTGTTTGTTGTACATTTAACTCTTCCTAAAAAAGTAGAAAAAAAGAAAAGAAATGAATCTCGTTTGACAAATTTTCAAGGACTATATTTCACACGTTAATAGCAGCTTTGAGTAATTGTGAACATCTTTACCCAAAAGCATTACTTAGTTGTTGTCAATCCTGAGATGAGAAATAAATAATTCATATAATTTGTAGCATTTACTAATTTCCGAGCAACTTTTCAGCAATACAAATGGGTAATATTTTATGACAGTGATAATAATAATCTTTTTTTTAATATCTTAATAAATCGATTTCTTATTCTACTATTTGTCCCCTTATTCGACATTAAGTTTTAAGTTAGAGACAGAATATTGCTTTCAAGCTTCTTCTTGATTTTCAAAAGCAACTTCGCTTAAAGTTTATACTACATAGGAAGAGTTTCGTTCTTTACTTGTTATTCAATAATTAAAGAATATGCTGGAAATTCTTTTAGAAAATCGAAAGCAGCCCAAAACTTTTTGTCGAGGGATATGTTTAGTTTGAGGAGAATGATTACAGACATAAATGCAAATTTACTCTTAACTTGATGTTTACACATTTCAATGTATTCTTGACAAGATTCCCTAATTTGCAAGTTCTTGGATAGCTTTTGAATTGGAGTACAAAGGAGCCTAATCATAGCCATACCAAATCTCTCTAGTGTGTAATTTGTTCGGGATTGAAATCATATTTAAACCTAGACTTGTTTATTGAATGAATTAAATATGAACGAGCTTTGATTCTATCGAATTCGAAAATTTTGAATTATTTACGTATAAATTTTAAATTTTATGCTTGTTGAATCAAGCCAAAATCACTAAACACAAAAATTGTATTCATGTTTGACTTAATTAATTGACGAACAAAACAAACAAGCTTTGACAAAGTCAGGTTTAAAAAAAAAAAAAAAAAAATTTATATATATATATATATTATATATATATATTATATATATATATAATATATATATGTGACATTGACAAAAGGTTGGAACAATTCATCCTCTTCTGTGATTGCATTTCCTACTCTTAGTTTGACCCCTTCAGGAATATTGGTAAGACTTCAAACAAACTTTGATGTTTTAAATAAAAAGTCCACGCTTTATTTACAGCTTTAGTTAAAAACAAATAAATAAAAAGTCAATTAAAAAATTATTGCCAAATATAAAAGGTAAAAACTAATAAATAACACCAATAATATTTGGGATGAACACGGACTATTTATTACGTACCATTAATTACGTCCCTTTCTTTTTTGTTCTAGTAATAATGATGTCCTGTTTTTTAATATGACAATTGGTATGGTTTTTATTTGCTTGTCATCACTTAGAACTTTGCCTTTAAGGTATTTTGATCAAATTATTCTTGAACAGGATAAAAAAGAAAAATTCCTGTTGCCAAAATGAAGCCATAAAGCGTGCATTAGTTTTTGCGCCATCATTTTATAAGTGGCATAATATCCTAAACAATAATTGTTTTCCTATCCACAGCTTTTACGAAATACCACAAACCTAAATAGCATTCATGATACTAAGAGTGTCGTCAATTAATGGTACGTAATAAATAGAATATTCTTACTTTTTCAACAAAAAATGCAAGAAAAAAAATTAAAATTAAGATAATGCAAATCGTATATATCAACCAAATATCAATAGAAATGAAAATATTATACACCAAACATTATAATTTTCTGAAGAAAAAATATTGCCAGAGAGAGAAAGTTAAGCGTGTAAAACTTTTGAGCGAATGCCAAATAAATTTAACAATCATACGGAAGAAATATCTATGAAACTTATTCAAGATACTTGTAAAAAAAAAAATTGGTCAAGTCAAGGTATGGGAACATAAAATAAAAGTCCTTCCTTTTATAAAAAGCTGTATGCTTACTACTTTTTTTATAAAAAGTTTATTACATTCTTTTGCGACGGAGATGCTTACACTTTTGCTTACAAATGTGCAGAGAGAATTTGAAGAGTCAGTTGGTCAAGGCAGTTGATTAATCAGGTAGAAAAATTTAGCATTACTGAAGCATGATGTGGTTGGACAAATTTTGCTTATTCCTCTGATTTTGAGTTGATGCCAACCAACACAAAAGGCGTAAGAATCTACTTTTTCCAAGGAGCAACGGAGTCCGCTCACTAGCAATCATAATACGTGGACTCCACTTACAAAAAGCAGCTTAAAAGTCACAAAAGGCATTTTTTCTTTTACTTTATAATTATCGCTCGTCGTATTAAGTTGGGGAATCTACGAATGCTTCTAAGAGACATGTTATGGATAGTGCTCCTGTCCGCTGGTTTTGACAAATTTCTATCAGAAAAAGTGTAAACTCTCAGTCATGGAGGAGGTTCTTCCGGGAGGAGCATCATTTATTCGGAATACTGAAACGATCTTGGATAAGCTGCAGTTGCTGGTGGAGGAGGGTGTTTTCTTCGGAGAGGAGGATCATTTGGACAAGTTGAAGGGGGAACTAGAAGAAGTGAGAAAGTATTTTCGGGCTGCATGGAATTTGGAGATGTCTTTTAAAAGTCTTGTAGATTTTGTTTGTGACGAAAGGGAGCAGATTTACTCTTCTTCTGAATTAGATCAGGCATCGTCCAGCGTCGACTCAATTACAGCAGCCTCCATTTTTGGAGATTTTTTGAAGAATTTTAGGCAACAGACCCGACTTTTTGACGATTCTGTTCATCAAGGTTGGCAGGGTTTTTACTCTCTTCTTCTTAAGGATGGATTGCCCTCCACTGTAGCAGATCGAGAAAGTATAGTGAATTTTGGGCAACAAATCAGAGATTTTTACAAACGGATGTGGGATTCCATGGTACCACTCTTTTCGGATTCCAGAACGAGATATTTGCAGCAGCGCTGGGTTAATGACTTGACGGGTGGATGGGAAGAGATGTCTTATGAGAAAAGGAGACTCATTGATCTTTTCACATCCTTCCAACGGGATGTTGAGTGCATTCTCCGCCTTGGTATACTCTGTGATTCAAGATTTGCAGAAGTCTTGAAACCTGTTCTTATTTACTCAACATTACGGAAAGGGCATCCTATCAAGCGATTTCCATTTGTGAAACATTTCAGTTCGGGCTGGGTGAATGGCCTCAAATTTATCAAGCGATTTCCATTTGTGAAACATTTCAGTTCGGGGTGGGTGAATCGGGGGAATCTCAGTTATCACTGGATGAATCGCCTTGAATATATCGAGCGATTTCCATTTGCGGCTCTATTCGCAGCTCGTCTTTGTTGTTGGTTTTTAAGAGATCGAATTCACTTGAATACCTCTGAATCGGTGGAGCAGATCAACCCTGCTGCTGACCAAGCTTCTTTGGCTTATACTGGTGTCTGGGAATCTGAATCGCGGTCACTCACTCTGTCTAGCGAGGCAATGACTTCCATTGATTCGATCATAGATTTCTGCAAGGATGATCATGATCTGAAGGAGCTGAAGGTTGAGTTGAGCCTAGTGAAGATATTTTTCCTGTGTGCAAGGAAATTGTGTTTTTCCTCAAAGAGAACTGAAATTCTTAAAGATTCTGTTCGTCAAAATTGGCAGCAGTTTTGCTCTTTTCTTGCTCAATTGGAGCATGGATTGCCCCCCAGCGAATTGGCAGGGGCGATCTCCAATTTAAGAAGAATCTTAAAGAGTTATAGGCAAAAATTCAGTACATTGTATGTTGAGATGCCGGACTTTTTATTCAACAGGTACGGCTATTGCAGCGAGGGTCATAATTCGTATGTAGATAGCCTTTTAAAATCCAGTTCTGGCTTGAGAGATGAATTCATGGAACTCTTCAATTTGCTCTTAGAAAACCTTGAGGATATTGTCATCTGGGGCAAAGCCTGTGATTCAAGACTTGCAAAATTGTTGGAACCGCTTCAAGAGAAGCTAGTGTTCCTTAGAACTTTCATTCTCTTTCCCAGTTTGCAAGGCAAGCCCAAGAGGAAACTCTTGGAGCACTGTGCAGTTGTGGCTTTATCTGCAGCACATCTTTGTTACATTTGCTGGTTTTTCAGATATCACTATCAGGAGCTCAACTGGATGGACTCAAAGATTTCTGAATTAACAGACAAGATCAAGCTTGTTGATCACCGAGCCCATCACACATATATTTGCGTCCTTGAATCTGGAACAACTTCCCCCACTCTGTCTACCGAGAAGGATGTGATTATAGTGGGTGAATTTGTTGAATCTCTTCTAGGTCATCTTTGGGAGTTACTACTAAATTGTCCTGCCTATTTTGCGGTATCCTTGAAGCATCAATTGCGGATGCTCTTTGAGGGACTGCAATTCTTGAGAAACATTCTCAATAAGGAGAAGTATGATGGGATAGAGGGAAAAATCAAGGATCTTATTCGAGCTGTGGTCAATGACGCTGGGATTGTAATTTTATCACTTTATCAGAACGACCTTCGAGAAGCTTCAGCCGAGGAAATAGATGTTAAGCTCTTTTGTTTACTGGAGAAGATTAAGCCCATTAAGGCAGAAGTTGAGGAAAAGTACCCTATACCGCCAAAGTTTGGCTTTCCTACAACTGATGCACTAGGGCTTATCGATCTTGTCCAAGAAAAACTGCAGGAACTGGCAAGCTGTAAAGTTGATCCTATATTTACTTTTGCGAACGATAGAGTTCACTTCTTAAGGTCATACTTGAAGAATGCCATGGAAGAGCACAACCAGGACGCAAAGCACCAAGCACAAACAATCCAAGAAGATTTGTCGTTCTTGAAATCATTCTTGGAAAACAATTTGGAGCAGCACACAGAGAAGGAAAAGCTTCATATTCAAACAATGCAAGATGGTCTTGTATTCTTAAGATCATTCTTGGAGAACAACAGGGATCAACGCAACCACCTTGCAGAGCTCCAAGCTCTTAGTAGTCATGTTGTGGAAGTGGCATACAAGGCAGTGTTTGTTATTGACTCCTTAATTGTTGGAGATTTATCATATTATTCACTTATGCTATTTGATGATGTCACAGCAGAAACTAAGCTTCTTAAAACTAAGACATGGGAGATTGACAGCATCGAAGCCCAGAAACCTGCCGATAGTTTGAGGGATGTGCCATCACAAGGTAGTATCCTGCAATATTTTAAAAGATGATGATATTAGCTCTCCAGATTTTGTTAATGATCTTTCGTTCTCTCTGTAATTTGTTTTGGAATAGCAGGAAAGAAGTGGAGTGGAGTATTCCACCAGGTGCCATCACAGGGTACTATCTCAACAATCAATAAAGTTGCGGTATGTCTGAAGGATCAGGAGCAAGCAATTATTGATCAACTTATAGGAGGATCGCTGCAGTTGGACATCATTTCTATTGTGGGAATGCCTGGACTAGGCAAGACGTTTCTGGCAGAAAGAGTTTACCATAACCCTTCAATTACATCTCACTTCCACATTCTTGCATGGTGTTGTATCTCTCAAGTATATTGCAAGAAAGATCTGTTGCTTGGGATCTTGGCATGCATTGATCCAAAAGCCCAATATTCGGAGTTTGATGAAGATGATTTAGCTCACAAGCTTTGCAACCACTTGAGGAAACGAAAGTATCTCATAGTTTTGGATGATATTTGGGACATTGAGGCATGGAATGCTTTGAAAATATCTTTCCCAGATCATACCAACGGAAGCAGAATTCTCTTAACAAGTCGACATCATGGGATTACTGGTAAACCTCACCATCTTCGTCCACTTCATGAAGAAGAAAGCTGGGAGTTACTACAGAAGAAGCTTTCAGTTACTAGAGAAGAAGGCTTTCCTCCAGAACTAACTGTCCTTGGGAGGCAAATTGCAAAAAACTGTAATGGACTGCCTCTATCAATCATCATCATATCTGGAATTCTCGAGACTCTAGATCAAGGTCGTTGGGGAGAGGTAGCAGAAAAGCTAGACTCAAACAGCAAGATTGGTGCCACAGAACAATGCAAGAGTATATTAGAGCTGAGTTACATGCATCTACCTGACGATTTGAAGCCATGCCTTCTTTACTTCAGTGCATTTAGAGAAGACCAAGAAATTTCTGTAAAGAGGTTGATGTGGCTGTGGATCGCCGAAGGATTTGTGCGAAAGAAGGAATCAGAGAGCCTTGAAAAATCAGCAGAAGGCTATTTAATAGCTCTAATCAACAGAAGCTTGGTTATGGAGGGGCAAAAAAGATCCATTGGCGGGGTCAAGACATGTCACATTCATGATTTGTTGCATGTCTTTTGTTTGGGAAAAGCTAAAGATCAAAATTTTCTACATTTGATACAAGGATGTGACAGATTTCTTAATTTTGATGAACCACGCTACCTACATCGGTTATCCATTCACTTTCAGCCAAATCATTTTGTGAAGTCAAAGATATTTTGCCCCCATGTACGCTCTCTATTACATTCTTCTCGTGGTATTGGGAGCCGTGTAGTATCATACAACCTATCCTTTGTTTGTCACCTGAAACTTCTTCAAGTGTTGGATTTGGAACAAATTAATCTTGGTTTTAATTTCCTGTGTGAATTAGGGTTGCTCATTCAGTTGAGGTACCTGGCTGTTTCGGGTTGGATCAAATACATCCCACCCTCGCTGGAAAACCTCTCGAATTTGGAAACGTTTCGTGTGACAACATATTATTCTGATTTTGTTCTTTCATCGTTGGTAGATATTTTTTGGAAATTGCAGAAATTGAGACATTTCCAAGTACGTGGTGCTTTGATTTGTCTTAGTTTGGGAAAGGAAAATCCTGAAAGCTCCTGTATGTCATACAATTTACACACGTTTTCCACTCCAAAGCTTTATCTTGGGCAAAGCATGGAAAAGATGATCATGAAGTTTCCAAATATCCGCAGACTGAAATGCTGTCTGCTACAGTCAGAGGAATCTTGTAGTGAGAGCACAAGGATCGTGGCAATGGACTCTCTGAGTCAGCTAGAATCACTAAAGCTGCTACTGGGTAAAGTTACTGCAAATTGTATCGAATTTCATCTCCCCTTGAATCTGAAAAAGTTGACACTGGAGGACTTCTCAAGGAGTATAATTTGCACAATCAGAAAGCTACCCAATCTTGAGGTTCTCAAATTAATCCGACAAGCAGATGGGGAAAAGGAATGGGACATGGGAGACATGGAAGAAGAGGAATTCTTTCCTAAACTCAAGTTTTTGAAATTGGAATCCTTGAAGGTGGTCAGGTGGATGGGCACTGGAGAGCATTTTCCCAGTCTTGAGAGATTAATTTTGGAGGGTTGCGTGCAATTGGAAGAGCTCCCTTCCTGTTTACAGGCAACTTTAACTCTTCAATTGATTGAGGTGCATGGATGTCTATACCTTGCTGGAAAGAAAGTTCAGGGCATTAAGAAACAACAGGATGACTATAGAGAAGAGGATCTGAAAATCGTTATCTCAGATGAAATTGAGGAGTCTTCTTCATGTTCGGATAGAGATTCAGACGGATGGTTACCAGAAGAAATTGATTCTTCATGATCGAAGATTCAGAAGGATGGTCAGGCTAACGATCATCTGCCATAAGCGTTACTATCTTCTGTATGGTTCTGTTTACATTGATGTCATATTTGTCATTGTAACGCATAAATAAGTTGCTATGTAGTAATGGCAAATTAGTGTACTATTTGATTAAATTGATTGTTCAAATATTGAGGATGGATATACTAATGATTTGTTCAAAATGGGAATACAGAATCTGATATGATCTTGTACTTGGGCTTATCCAGTTAGTCAAGTGTGTTGTGTCATGAGATTCAGATTTTATATTCTTAAGCTCAGAATTCGAACTTTGAACCTGACAGAAGGGAAAACTCTGAGAGTGTTAAGCATTTCTCTAGTCACTGGACAAACCCCTGTGGTTACAGGTGTGATGGTACGTGCTACTGGGGTATATTCTGTGTTCTGCTATGCATTTAGCTTGTACCCAAACTGTTCTGCAAATTAACTACTGGGGTGAGTGTGTTGAGGGTAGTGGGAGGAAAATTTGATAGATTGTGGCCTAAGATGGTAATCTGATCAGGATTGTCTCAGCTCAGAACTGTCGTCTGGTTATGGAATTCTCATCATTACACAAAACTGCCTTTCAAAGTTTCTTCTGGGGTGATTACCTTTTTAAGTACTTTTCAGAGTTACTTCCAGGGGATTACCATTAATTGCTTTTTTGGAGTTTCAATATTCTTGATTCGAGTATTAAAGACTATCTTTCTTTTGCATCTGAGCAGTATCTAGCCACGAATATCTAGCTGGGCAAAAGAAAATGCCAACTTACACTAAATAGGTACATCTTGCCAGATAACAATTATTTTCAGGTTGAGATTGCTAATAAATTCCTATATATTTCAAGGACAAATTTTCAAGTTTTAACATAAGAAACGGCTCAACATTAAGTTTTAAGTACAAGGATTACATTCAAGAAGAGCTCAAGATGAAGTTTGTTTACGATTACATGTTTCATTTATTATGCAAAGCTTTTGAGGTTTGAGCCAAAAATCCCAGAGGGAGCAATGGAAATATGTTCAGAAACAATGGCTTGCCATTCAGATGGAACGGAAAAGAAGTTCATGTTGGAGTCTTTGGTGAAGAGTGTATGGCGAAGAGTCTATCCGATAATACTCGAGTATTAAAGAAGTTCATGTTGCACTCTGCTCCCTCCTCATGAAACTCGTGATAGGTTGCAATTTTATTGACAGGGTGTCGAACCTGTACAATAATAATAATAATAATAACCTAAATACCACTAAAAGTTGTCAATAATTAATCCTAGGTACTGGAGCAGGGACTCTAGGTGTGCAATGGGTTACTTGATTCACCCTATTCCCGAAGAGTTTGCTTAATCCGATATACCATAATTAATTAGTTGACAAAAATTACTGAAAAGTAGCCAGTGGCAAGTAGGGTTGTCTCCTTAGGAACTGGGGATATTTGCTTCCTTTAAATTCCAATTGATAAGGGGGAATTTCACCAGAATGAAATTAACAATCACTTAAACAATTTAACTGAAAATGAATAATCAACTAGCACAAATATAGCAGAAATTAAATCAAGGATAAATAAATTCTAGTTAGGATGCAACTACTCAGACACAGTCCATTTATCCGATCATCGATGCAAGGGAGGTTCTCTTAATTTCTTAATAGGCTAGTTAAAGTCGCCGATAAACTTTAACAACCAATTTTTCCTTAAATTATTGATAACCAAGGTACGACCATTGATCATCCCTAACCAAAAAATACTCCTAGGTACGACCGTAGGAATTAATTTTCCAATTGCATTAATAACTAGAAAAACCTAACCCTAATCAATAACACGTTACGAGGGTTATTTAAATTAGATTGCACGTTCCCTTAGTGTGCAAACACACCAGTTGCCACTAATATTGATCAATCAAACAATTACGGATTTAATTGACTAAATTGGCACGAGATTAATAAATCACATTGAACATCGGGCCCTTGACATCCAATTAATAAAATAATCCCATGAAAATTCAAGCAGACAACTTGCAAATATTAATAAATTAAGGAACGCGTGAAAACTAATTAGATCTCACAGATTTTCGGGACTGCGCCGTCAAGTTGACCCTTGACTAGATGGAAGACTTAGTCACGCCGCATAATTAAATCACCACACGAATTAATGAATTGCAACGGCATTGCGATTTTTTACTAGAAAGTAAGGAATAAAAGATGTTTTTTTCGTTGGGGAATATTGTCGAACACCTGGCGTGTGTGTCAGAGGCCAGTTAAAAGAAAGAAAACTAGAACTAAACTAAAGTCTCTCTACGTTGCTTTCTTTGAAGAGCCCAAATGACTAAATATCTTTCACTAGCTTTGTGGTCCCCACCAATTCAAGGGCCCAAGGACTGAAACCCTTAGAAATCTCCATTTTCTCCATAAAATCCCTCCTTTTTGGTAGTTTTCT